TGGCTTCACACTGCCACTGCCGTGTACTATTGTTCATGGACAACTCAGCCACCCTCTCTGTGCCTTGGTTTCTCATCCATAAAATGAAAAACTCCCATATATATTCAAGGCCATGTGTCTATAAATTGCTTAGCATAGTGTTTGGCACATAGTAGATTGCATAAAGAACAGGCATTATTTCCACGGATTGCTGAAATTTTACCTTTCAAGATACTGAAGTATTTTTCAGACATGTGGGAAGAAATCCAGTCAGAAAACTTGACTTTAGTGAGATTAGGAACCCTGCGGCTTTTCTTTGACACTTCATTGGTTGTACTACCCTTCTCTTGGTACTGTTCTTTCTCCCTTTCCTCCTTTCTGGAACTCAGAGAGGTAAACAGTAGATGGCTTTCTAGGCCTGTGGTCAGGTCTACAGAGAACTGTCCATTGTGGTAGTCTCCACCTTCTAAGGCCTGAGTGTTTCATCGTAGTCATACATTTAAAATTGCTCTTACCAAATGTTTGGCTCTGAAAGAGTATAATTTTGCTGATAGCCTCAATAGCTTGTTTGGGTGAGTTTGTGCTCTGAGATGGCAGGGCTGCAGAATTTCCAGGGTCCGTGTCTTTTCACATAATCTCACTGTGTATTTCTATCCATGACTCCCATTTCAGCAGTAAAATAATTAAAGGAGAAGCTGGTGAGCTTCTCAGTGTAAATCTGGCAACTTTCAGTCCTAACTGCAAAACCGTTAAAGGTTAGGCTTATAAGCAGTACGTAGGTAAATGTTTGGGGGGGGAGAAATGATTTCTGTTAATATTCATTTTCAAATAGTTTTTAGATGATACCAGGCAACATTACTGGAAAGGGAAATGAAGAAATTTGAAGATGGATTGTGTATTAGATATGAGTGAATAAAAGTGAAACAAATATCCTTTAGTGTTTTGCTCTAAATAAATTGAGACTTTTAACAGAGCAAAAGTTTTTGATTCACATATACTGTTTTATATGTTTGGAGTCAATCAGAGTGCCCATAAACTTTAACGGTTAGAATTATGAGAAACTTAGAATTATGTTGAGACTTTTAACAGAGCAAAAGTTTTTGATTCACATATACTGTTTTATATGTTTGGAGTCAATCAGAGTCAAGTTTTTATCTTAAAATTATAGTTGCCATATGCCATAGTGTACACTGAAGATAACCTTAATGTTCAGACTTGCATTTTTACATTCTGTAAGTAAGAAAGACCAAATTAAGAAACATTAATGCAAAGATTATCTACATTTAAGAGACATAAAAGCCTTTTTTTGGTGGGTACATGAACAGAGTCAATTTACTATGTGCATATAATTACTGTGTATGCATTTTCAAAATGTACAGGAAAAACTCAGTCTGATGAAGAATTATTGCTGTGTAACAGTATAGGAATATCTCAGTGGTCATAATGGTTATTGACAGGCACTTTCAGCTTTTAATTCATTTCTGAAAACGGGCATTAAGCTTATTCCTATGGCCACTGTAGATTCATTTAACATGTGGCCAAATCCATAGCACTTAATCTTGTCAATGCATAGCCTCACCTAAAAGAAATCCCACTGAATTAAAGAAGAAACACCTGTGTGGTTTTGGGATAAAGAACAACTTGGTTGAAAAGGAAGAGAACTGAGAAAATTGCAAGATGCTCCTCTTTAACACAAGTAAAATTCTGTGTCACTGTTTTCCCTTTTGCAGAAAAAGACGTGAGTTTGGAATCAGTTGTCAGCAACTTAAAATGACTGAATTGTGTTTTCATCCACCCTGGTGAAACCACAAGTGGCCACTCAATTTTGACAGAGCACAAGGAACATGCTCTAGTCAAGTGTTACAGAATTCTCATGGCAATATCGCTAATTGTGTGCAAGATACACAAGGCATATATGAGCAAGTTTATTCTTTTTTATTGTGATGAAAACTAGAACCTCTTTTCCCCCACATATTTCATCAAACTATTTACAACCTCTGTAAAATTTGTGAGTTTGAAAATACTTTTTCCACTATCACATGTTACGAATACAGTAAAATATCTTCTCTCTATTTCATTAAAGATGCAGTATTTCTATTAAGAAAAATCTGAATTTCTATTGCAATTGCTCAGTATTTAGTACATTTAAAGTACGGATGGATATGGGCGGTTAAACAGACATTGCTCTATAATGAAACTGCGAAAATATAGCATTTTTAAATTTTTTATGTACATTTCTTAACTATAAAATGCAGGCAAAGTCATATATAGTCTTATAAGCTGAATCCCTAACAAGGTAAATAATTTACATTCCTAGGCAGCATGGGTTATTACAAGTTCATTTTTAAAAAGTTCTTTGTTGATATTTATGAGCCCACGGGTAGCTGCATATACGGGGGTATATACACATGTGCAGGTGTTGGTGGTGTCTGTACAGGTAAGCTTCAGAAGGCAGTGTGGAGATAAGTAGGAACGTAACATGGAAGACATGGCTTATCAAACCCTTTTCTAAATGGAATCAAATCACATGGAAAAGAACTTTTTTATGGGGTGTATTACCTCAGCAAAACTAAAAGACATTTAGTCAATGATACTGAAATGGAATACATGTACCTGCTAAATTTACAGGCATTAGTAACCAGCAAAATCAGATTGGATAATGAGCTACGAATATTAAGGCTTCATGGGCCTGCTATGATTCGTAAGATTTATCTCACATTCAGTCCCTTGTATGTAGACTGTAACTCCTAACGTAACATGAATGCTGGTATGCTCAACACTGCTGAAATTCTGTCAGTCCTCACTATAAATGTTATATCACGGCTACATTTCTAAGCAGTCCAAACAACATAATAAAGGCGTATTAATACAGTTGAAGGCCTCGCCTCACCAGATTTATTCAATTGCAGCTTTGGTAAGTATAATAAAGTACAGAAGAAGGAATACTGCATCTTTATCCATATACACGTTATCATTCTAATGAACTGATTTCAAAGTGCAGAATTATATTTACCTTTAAAACACAAATGGCAATTTAAAGTTTAAAAAGTTGTATAAAAATGAACATAATCTTTACATAAGCTATTCCAAATTTCAACCAGAACAAAAATGGCCTTTTTAATCACCTTGAACTGGCATTTGTAAACACTGTAGCATTTTGTAAGGTCCCCCTCCCCAACAATTATCTTCCTAGTACCCACTTGAACTTTAAAGTGAATAAAAAGTGCTCATTTTTTAAAAAGTGTGGGTTATGTTACGGTTAATGAACTGCTTTTGGAAGTAAATGTCCTATAATGTTGTATAAAAGTACTGTCAGGCAGTAGTATCCTTTTTATGGTAAAGCCATTAGGAATCTCAGTCTAAATGCCTTAATAGAACTTAAGACAAGTTATCAAGTAGGTTTCTCAGCGTCCACACACAATTGACACAAAGTTGGAGGTGGATGGGGAAGTGTGAATCTCTCTCCAAACAACTTAAGATCAGAATATGAGAAGGGACTCTCTTAAAACCTCAAAGGTTGAACCTTGTAAGTTTTTAAATGACATAACTCCCTTGAAATCAATCAATATGATGCTGAGAGAAAAGTCAAGTCCACTGCAGCCATTACGGCTCTATGTGAGTCAGTTCCCAACCATGCACATATCCCCAGGCATAAGCCAGATGACTCTGAATGTAAAACCCAGGAATGCTTCTAGTTAGGGAACAACCGACAAGTCCTTTAGGATCCCACCCCTCTCCTGTTGCTCATCGTGTTCTGTGCTTTTTCAAAGAGGCTAGAAATGGACCCAAAACGGAGACTTTTCCATAGTGGAAGAGACTCCACTTCCACTTTTCCCAAACTACTTTCCTTTCCACTGGGAAACACCTTTAGAAAACTCACCAAGGAGAATTTTCTATATCCCAAGATAAGCCCCAAAGAAATTTCAGTTCCTAGGGCTGAATCAGGGGCTCATTCACTTCACTTGTGCTCAGTTCCCTTCTTAGCAGTCAATCAATGGGGGGCGTTGGCGTGATGCCAATAGGCTTTATCAATTATTCATAATAGCTCCCCGTCTCAGTCACTTACCACTTTCAGAGGGTGAAGAGAAAAGCTCACTTCCCCCAAATCTTTCCTACATTATTAGAAAGGTGCAGTTCATTTAGTGCTGGGCTACATTTAAATAAAGCTGTCACTCAGGAGGTTTCTACCGCCTGTCAGGTGTATAAATGTTAAAAGCCATTTTTCTCCCTGTAATCTTCTCTAGATTTCTTTCAGCAGAGAAAAGGATTGGCTCTTTTTAGGAAAGCAGACAGAACTAAACCAAATACCTTTACTCACCTACTACCTGCCAACTAAGTTCTGGACTAGTGTCGGGGGGTTCGTGGCTGTGTTTGCCCCTCTCTGCATCAGTGCCACTGAACAATAACCAATGCTGGCATGCATCCAGAAACCTTTTTCCATTTTGAGTGGCCACAGGCAATGAGAAATAGAAGTTGCATACAGTACAGATAAAAAACTTTCCAGTTGGTTAAAAAAACCCATTGGTTGGTGGATAGTAGTTTGTGTAGCCAAAGAAGCAATTTATCAATAGAATTACAGCCCTTGTTGGAGGGAAATTGCCTGATGAATTTTTTCAGATCTGGCAGAAAATATAGAGCACATATTTTTGAAGCCAGAATGTGACCTAAAAGTCATTGTACTGTTGGTTGAACAGTTAAAAAAAATTCCTTTTAATGCCATCCAACACAAATTGTCCTTGTTTCAATGTCCATAGTTCTTGCTTCATCAGAATAAGATGATCTGAATTAGAAGATGACCCTAAAAGAGGACAATTCTGAAACTGAAAAGTATTTTAGAATATTCAAACATAAAAATGAGCTAGTAGTACTGTGAGGTTATTTGTGCATTTCCCCAAATCAAGTGTTTGTAATTGAAATATATTGCAAAGGTCTTTGCTGAAGACCTTTAATATCTAAGCTATAAAAAAATTCTAATAACAACAACCAAAAAAAAAAAAAAAAGAAAAAGAAAGAAAGTGCAGTTCATTTAGTGCTGGGCTACATTTAAATAAAGCTGTCACTCAGGAGGTTTCTACCGCCTGTCAGGTGTATAAATGTTAAAAGCCATTTTTCTCCCTGTAATCTTCTCTAGATTTCTTTCAGCAGAGAAAAGGATTGGCTCTTTTTAGGAAAGCAGACAGAACTAAACCAAATACCTTTACTCACCTACTACCTGCCAACTAAGTTCTGGACTAGTGTCGGGGGGTTCGTGGCTGTGTTTGCCCCTCTCTGCATCAGTGCCACTGAACAATAACCAATGCTGGCATGCATCCAGAAACCTTTTTCCATTTTGAGTGGCCACAGGCAATGAGAAATAGAAGTTGCATACAGTACAGATAAAAAACTTTCCAGTTGGTTAAAAAAAACCCATTGGTTGGTGGATAGTAGTTTGTGTAGCCAAAGAAGCAATTTATCAATAGAATTACAGCCCTTGTTGGAGGGAAATTGCCTGATGAATTTTTTCAGATCTGGCAGAAAATATAGAGCACATATTTTTGAAGCCAGAATGTGACCTAAAAGTCATTGTACTGTTGGTTGAACAGTTAAAAAAAATTCCTTTTAATGCCATCCAACACAAATTGTCCTTGTTTCAATGTCCATAGTTCTTGCTTCATCAGAATAAGATGATCTGAATTAGAAGATGACCCTAAAAGAGGACAATTCTGAAACTGAAAAGTATTTTAGAATATTCAAACATAAAAATGAGCTAGTAGTACTGTGAGGTTATTTGTGCATTTCCCCAAATCAAGTGTTTGTAATTGAAATATATTGCAAAGGTCTTTGCTGAAGACCTTTAATATCTAAGCTATAAAAAAATTCTAATAACAACAACCAAAAAAAAAAAAAAAAGAAAAAGAAAGAAAGAAAGAAAGAAAGAAAGAAAAACTCACCAAGCCCCTTAGCCACATAAAACTGGAAAAAACCCAGCTCTTAGTGGAGACAAAAATATGATAGTTTTTCTGAAAGAATGCTTGTTGGTGATGTATTGCTTTGTTTACTGTATACTCTTCTAGTTGCAAAAAGGCTCATCATTTTAGGGGGTCAATGGAACTACACCTTCCTCTTGTCCTCAGTATAAGATGGGTGGGTTCTATATCCCTGCAGATGCCACGGTGTCCCAATACAGTTTAGAAAATGAAGAACCTATGGAGAGTCACCTCTTGGCTCTCCAAGAGAAGAAACTAGCACCATGTCAGGCTGTCCATGGGGAGCATTTCCTTTCCACTGACTCAGTGCTAAGGAGGACTGACCCGTTAACCAAAGAGTTAATGCCTGGCCAGACCTTCCTTGCCTTTCTAGTCACCAAATAACTGTTTTCAAACAAGAAAAGGGGAGCATAATCTTTAATTGTGGTACTCAACCAAGCAGGACAACAAACAGCAGAAAGATTACCTCAGTGCTGTAAATGTAACCAAGACATCTAAAATACTGGGTTATTTTACAATCCCTTTAGTAAGTATGAAAATTGGTAACGTGAGTCCTCAGTGAAGTTATTGTAGAAAAGTCCTTTTATTCATTATTGCTTTTCTCCTCAAGAGGCGCATTATTTCCATCTCTGCTTTGTCTGTTTTTTCATGTTCACTGACTTTGCTTGGGCAGCCCCACCTCTTACCTTGGTGCCAGTGTGTCTAAGAAAGTTTTTTTCCCCTGATTCCTTGTAATCAAATACTAGGGGCAGGAAGAGATGATGCCTAGGTGACAGAACACTGCAATTTGAAGTGGGGCAGTAGTTTTTTTAGACAGGCTCTTCCTATTCAACTACAGAACACCTCTGTGCCAGTCCCTGCCAGGGCAGAGACCAGGACTAGACTTCAACTAAATGTCGCTGCCCCTCTGCCCAAACAGATGAACGAAACAGAACTGGAACAAAACAAAAACAATCAACGACAAACAAATGAAAGATTCAATGTTGGTTCTCTCCAGGGCATGGCATAATGACAAGTTGCGAGTGATATCTAGTTGCCGCCATCACTATTGCAAAGGGCTGCTTGAGTGGCCCTTTCTTTTCAGGTAATGGAACCTCTCCAACAGCTTCTTCTTTTCTACTTTCGTGCTGCTGCTTGCTGGTAACAGACTGGATGTGTGTTCTAGCTTACTTAGATAGTAACTAAAATTTCTGTAAAAAGGGGTAAAGGGGCGGGATGATGAGACAATCATCCAGATTTAAAAGGTCTTGCTCTAGCCATCAATTTGTGGTAGACGACCTTTAAGGTATCAATAACAAAATGTCTGACAGCTCAGAAAATGTACAAGCTACAAACATCTTAAGTGGCAGAGTACACAGCACGGAAAACAATGCCTGTCTCTTCAGCATGGGTGTCACTGAGCTCCCAGGCCAGCGTGAAGATGTTTCTCGTGTAGGCGTGATGGGGGTTACCTTCAGACCCAAAGGAGAAGTGTTCCTTCTTTTTCCTGCTCTGGTTTCAGACATCGTGGGATGGTGATGCCCTTTTGTGTTAACACTGTGAAGGGGATTCAGCCCTGCTGAATTGGGTGCCGCTAAGAGATCCAGCTCTTATGCTCAGCTGGACAGGTAGCTTTCCTCACACCAGCATATGCCTCCGGCGGTGCAGAGCCAAGTGATCTGACCGGGAAAAGCTGCGATCACAGTCCGCACACTTGAATGGCTTCACTCCCGTGTGTTTGCGGTAATGCCTGGTCAGTTCATCCGAACGAGCAAATTTCCAGGTGCAGCCTTCCCAGGTACACTTGTAGGGCTTTTCTCCTAGAAAAAGCAAAGGGACACATGTTTTGGTGCTCCATCATCACTTTTTCCTGTGAATCAAGCCAGCCCGCTGTTCTGGGAAACTGCTGCTCTCAATGAATGTTCTCTCCATTGGTAAATCTTGGTCAGGAAACCTTACCATCCCACCTGTGGGCCTGGGGGCAGACAGGTATGGGTTTCCATCTGGTCTTTTCTGCTCTAATAGGTGACAAGTTAGTTAACCTTTGCATCCTCAATTACGGGCAATGACTTTGTGCCAAAATATCAAAAGGCATAGACAGATTACCCTAGGATAGAATTACCATTGGTGGCCTGAAAAAGGACATTAGCGCTCTCCCAGAGAGAGCTCTAATGAACAGACGGAGTAATGATGACTCGTTACTCTTTGTCTCAGAATGCCATGATGGCCGCCATTTTGATGTTTTAGGCTGTCTTATAACATCATGTCCATTTATTGAGGGACTGAGAATATACACAAAATTTCATTCAGAGATTGTAAATGACTCGACTACCCCAGAAATTAGGTGGTAAGTATTCCTAAACATTTACTTTTTGCTTGTTCACTGGGAAAGATTCCCAGAGATCTCAGTAGTGTTATGTTTAAATTCATTTTTCAGAATTTAAGAATTAGGCCAAGCCCTAAGGAATCATAAAGCTGGTCCTGGTGCTAAACCTCATGGGAAAAAGCAACCTGAAGAAGTCTGTAACTTGACCAGATCTCTCAGTCAACTTCTTAGGACAGTAAAATATGCAAAGGCTGTGCTGGGAAAAGATACAGTCTCCATTGTCTAAATGAGCTCCCAGGGGGAGCAGAACAATAGTTGACCCAGGTGTGCAGATTTCCTGGCTCTCCTTCAGAGTGGAAGCCTGTCCCCAGTCAACCCTATATCAAACTGATCTCTCCGGTCGCTTCCATTCAGCACTACAGAGCGTGCTCATTGGCTATACACAACCACTGGTGAAAAGAGCCTATGATAAGAAAGGCAGCTATTTGCTGATCCCTGTGTACGGAGCTGTAAAATGAGTGTGGTTAACTCCACTTTACAGATGAGAGAACTGAGGTTCAACGTAGTGAAGTAACTTCCCCAAGGCCAGTAAGAAGACGTGCATAGCTCCCAACCCACCGCTTTCCACTATGCTGCAATGGAATGGGTTATTCTTATCCCATTTAAACTTTGTCACCTCCATGAAGTGATTGGGTTGTCGGAAAAGTATGATGCATTTTTGCATTACAAAATAGAAAAAAATATGTCATGACTTTTCCTACAACCCAGTAGCTCTATTTTCTTAGCTAATCCCAAATTGCTTGCTTTCTATTCATATTGAGTCATCAATTGTGATACAGCATAAAGATTTTGCTTAGTTGTCTTTTTTTTCTACTAGTTTTTAAAGACTTTGTTAAACCAAGACTCTACTATTTCAGTATCCCCAAAGATTAAATGGATGGCAAGCAAGTACTTGTATTAATTAACAGGACTGTAAAATACCTGTGCACACACATGGCACATGCACTGGAAACCATGAAACCCAATGAGCTGTATAAGTGATGCCTACACGGGAAAATCGGACCAAACCAAATCCAACATTTTTTCATTCAACTATTAAATAAATGCAGTCTCTATAGGTCCTTGTAGAATCAAACTGTACTTTTATAAGAAAAGGAATAATCCAGATCCATTAAATCTAGAACTAGTGATGCACTAATTGTGGCCCACGTGAATCTCCAGGACTCCTTTCTAGTAAAAGCCTACTGATGGAATTGACCCTAAGTCTCAACTTGTGATTAATTCTGTTTGACCTAAGGAGCAAAATCAGTGCTTGCATATGTCTAGTGACCAGAGAGCAAAAGAAAAGAAAAAAAACCCAGCAAAACCCCTAATTTAAAAAGAATGGTCTACTATATAGTATACCAGTGAACTAGTAACTCACTTTTACATGCAACATGTCATATATATATATATATATTTTTTGAGAGGTTTTTGCTATAGGGCACGTGCGCTCACCAGAAAGACAGAGACAGAGACAGAAAGTGAGAAATCACCCCCTAAGGGGGGATGGCCATGCTGCAATGCCTCCTCCTCCGTTCTCCTCTCAGGATCTTGGACATGCACGCACACACGCCCAGCGTGAGTTTACGCCACCATGTCCGAGACTCAAACTGCAGTCGACTACATGGGAGTCCAGCAACATAGCCATTATACCAACTGCTGGTCCCATATGTCATATGTTTCTGAAGTGCAAACTATAAGCATGGACTTTAAGAAGCTGAGCTTGACATGGATCATCTCTTCAAAACCACTGCCATCTTTGGTGCGCTGAGGGGTAGCTAGCTGGTTGTTACAGATGGGCATCTCCTACCTCTATCCTATGGAACCAGCTACAGAGAGTGTATATAAGAAAAAATGAAGATCTTAATTTAAGTAATGAGAACATTGCTCAGCTGTGTGATAGGAGGCTGTGTATTTCTCCCTTGGCAGAAGTGAGAGATGAGATGAGACAAGCTGTTGGACTCTGTGCCCTTGCAGTTCCAGAGAGTGAAAGATGCAATACAGACATGTGGTCTTCAATGCCCAAGACACTCACTAGCTGGCTTTAAAAAAAAGGTTGTTAACCCCTGATACTAGAGATGGGCAACTCTGTTTTTCATAGGCTCCTAAATACATGAATTTATTAAACTGGAGTATACAGTATACCAGTCGTTAGTTCGAGATGGGTGGTTACAGTATAACCATCTATTCTCAAATCAGATTCTTGATTCAAATTCTCTTAGTAATCAACACACATGCTATTTCATGTCATATACTTTAAATGGAGAATCCTCAGGATTAAAATATGAGTAAGTATCCTGGGAACCAGCAGTTAGCGTAATGGCTATGTCGCTGGACTCCCGCATAGTCGACCGCGGTTTGCATCCCGGACCCGGTAGCTTAAAACTCACACCGGGCGCGTGTGCGTGCGTGCCCAAGATCTCAAGAGGAGAATGGAGGAGAAGGGACTGCTGCGTGACCATCCCCCCTGGGGGGTGATTTCTCGCTTTCTGTCTCTATGTCTCTGTCTGTCTGGCGAGCGCACGCGCCCTATAGCAAAAATCTCTCCAAAAAAGAAAAAAATTATGAGTAAGTATCTTAAAACGCTCACTCAATTCTAACAGAATTATATATA